GATCATTTTAACAATTCAATTAAGTGACCTGCACCAATTTAATAACACAATAAACCAATAACAATACAACTTAAAATTAATTACAATAATAATTACAGTAAAACAAAAGAAAGCCATAGGCATAAACATCAATTCATCATAATTATTGCACAAATACAATAACAATTATTTATATTTAAATCATATGAAACACATCAAAAATCATAACTGCTCATATATATATATATATATATATATATATATATATATACACTATTAATTTTTGAATCCTTTTAACAATTCAATTAAGTAACCTGCACCAATTTAACAATACAATAAACCAATAATAATAAAACCTAAAATAATTACAATAACAATTACAGTAAAACAATAGAAAGCCCAACAAACTCATCGTACGACCTCAAATTCATTCATCTAACGACTACAAATATTTCAATCATTTGCCCCCAATTTCATTACTTTTTACTCATATATTTTTTTCAAAATCAGACCTCCTCTCAATCACCTCACTGATCAGACATGTCGGCTTTCCTCTGTTGGGTTTCTTTTGTGGAGTCTAGTTTGTGTGTGATCCGGATGACGACCCGACCTGAAATAATGTTGCGTGATTTTTAATGAAAATTTTCTGAGGCTTAGTCCATGGAGCGGAGGTTTGGGCCGATAGGACATATATGAACCGTTATTCGGTGATATAAGTTGTTATTTGGTAGCCTTTTGCGCATGACATATATAAACTGTTATTCAGTGATTAAGGTTTTTGAATTGATTCTGTACAGTTGCCACCCTCTCTATATTCTTTCTTGAGAATAGTGAAATTCTTGCAGCTTCGTAGACGTAGGCAAATTGCCGAACCACATAAATTCTGTGTTGTGTGATTGTTTGGATTGCATTCTTATCGTTCTTTTTATTAATTTAACTTTATTGTCATTGTTTGATTTCACAATAATTAGTATCAGAGCCAAGGTTCGGGTCTGAAACAAACAATGACTAGAGAAGAAGTGAAGACAACTGAGATTGAGAAGTTCGATGACACAGATTATGGGTACTAGAGGATGCAGATAGATGACTACCTATGCGGGAAGAAACTTCATCTTCCACTATTGGGGATGAAACCAGAGAGTATGAAGGATGAAGACTGGAAACTGTTAGACTGACAGGTTTTGAGGGTTATTCGGCTGATCCTTTCAAGATTAGTTGCACACAACGTTACCAAGGAAAATACCACTGTAGATCTCATGGCGGCTTTGTCAGGTATGTATGAAAAGCCTTCTGCGAATAACAAGGTGCATCTAATGAAAAAGTTATTTAATCTGAGGATGACAGATGGGACGTCTGTTACACAACACTTGAATGAGTTCAATACCATCACTAATCAATTATCATCTGTTGAAATTGAATTTGATGATGAGATTCGGGCTTTGATATTGCTGGCATCACCGCCAAACAGTTGGGAAGCCATGAGGATGACTGCTAGTAATTCTGCTGGTAAGATGAAACTTAAATACGATGATATTCGTGATTTAATTTTGGCCGAGGAAGTGCACATGAGAGATTCTAGTGAGACCTCGGGATCGAGTTCTGCTCTTAATGTTGATACTCGTGGGAGGTCATATAACAGGAACTACTCAAATAGAGGAAGATCAAAATAAAAAAACAGGGGCAAGAGCAAGTCAAAATTTGGACAGCAACAGACAGGACAACATTAGAGAACTTGTTGGAATTGTGGCAAAACTGGCCACATAAAGAAGAATTGCAAAAATTTGAAAAAGACAGAAGACGATGGTGCAAATGCAAGACACACTACTACTTGCCGTTCATAGTTCATTTGATGACTAGATATTGGATTCAGGGGCATCTTTTCATACCTCCTCTCACCGAGAAATCATGCGGAACTATGTTGTTGGTGATTTCGGGAAAGTGTACCTGGCTGATGGACAGGCACTATCGGTAGCGGGGATAGGAGATGTTGATATTACACTTCCTAATAGGAACGTGTGGACCTTGCAGATGGTCAGGCACATTCCCGAGTTGAAGAAGAATCTTATCTTTGTGGGACATCTCAGCGATTGTGGTCACTCACTAGTGTTCTCAAATAACACCTGAAAAGTTTCTAAAGGAACACTGGTGTTGGCCCGAGGTAGCAAGACTGACACTTTGCACATGACAGACGGTTCCAGTGATACTATTGCCACCACCACTGTAGAGAGTACTGCAGAGCTGTGGCATTGCAGAATTGGTCATATCAGTCAAAAAGGCATGAAGGAACTTGTGTCAAAAGGCAAGCTACTAGAACTGAAAGCAGTTGATTTGGGCATATGTGAGAGCTGTATACTTGGGAAGCAGAAAAAGGTCAGTTCTTGAAGAGTGACAGAGCTCTAAAATTAGGAAAGCTGAATTTTGAACACACAGATGTATGGGGACCCTCCCCAGAACATTCCTTAGAGGTTCTTGATACTATGTCACGTTCATTGACAGCCATAGTAGAAAGGTATGGGTTTATTGTTTGAAACATAAATCTGNGTTCATAGTTCATTTGATGACTAGATATTGGATTCAGGGGCATCTTTTCATACCTCCTCTCACCGAGAAATCATGCGGAACTATGTTGTTGGTGATTTCGGGAAAGTGTACCTGGCTGATGGACAGGCACTATCGGTAGCGGGGATAGGAGATGTTGATATTACACTTCCTAATAGGAACGTGTGGACCTTGCAGATGGTCAGGCACATTCCCGAGTTGAACAAGAATCTTATCTTTGTGGGACATCTCAGCGATTGTGGTCACTCACTAGTGTTCTCAAATAACACCTGAAAAGTTTCTAAAGGAACACTGGTGTTGGCCCGAGGTAGCAAGACTGACACTTTGCACATGACAGACGGTTCCAGTGATACTATTGCCACCACCACTGTAGAGAGTACTGCAGAGCTGTGGCATTGCAGAATTGGTCATATTAGTCAAAAAGGCATGAAGGAACTTGTGTCAAAAGGCAAGCTACTAGAACTGAAAGCAGTTGATTTGGGCATATGTGAGAGCTGTATACTTGGGAAGCAGAAAAAGGTCAGTTCTTGAAGAGTGACAGAGCTCTAAAATTAGGAAAGCTGGATTTTGAACACACAGATGTATGGGGACCCTCCCCAGAACATTCCTTAGAGGTTCTTGATACTATGTCACGTTCATTGATAGCCATAGTAGAAAGGTATGGGTTTATTGCTTGAAACATAAATCTAACGTGTTTAAAAAGTGGAAGACCCTAGTTGAGATGGAGACAGGCCTAAAGCTAAAATGCTTAAGGTCTGACAATGGCGGAGAGTACATTGATGGAGGATTCAAGGAGTACTGCGCAGCTCAAAGTATCAGAATGAAGAAGACCATTCCTAGGACACCATAGCAAAATGGCGTTGCTGAGCGCATGAACAGAACCATCAATGAGTGTGCCAGGAGCATGAGATTGCATGCAGGGCTACCACCTACATTTTGGACAAAAGTAGTGAACATTGTAATATACCTGATCAATTGTGGACCATCGGTTCCATTGGAGTGCGGACTACCTGAAGAGGCCTGAAGTGGAAAAAAGGTTAAAATTTCTCATCTTAGAACCTTTGGTTGTGTTTCTTATGTTCTTGTTGATGCTAATGCTCGCAGCAAGCTTGAGGCGAATCAATAAAATGCTATTTTATTGGTTATGGAGATGAGGCATTTGGTTATCGATTTTGGGATGAATAGAGTCGAAAGATCATTAGGAGCAGAAACGTGGTGTTCAATGAGAAAACTATGTCGAGGACAAGTCCAGTACAGTTGTTGATACAACTCCTCAATAGGCCGAGCTTGTCGACCTACTAGAGGTCACAGTGCAGTGCAGGGACAACAATGATGGTAAGAGTGGGTCTAGTGTGCCCATTCCCATTATTCCGCAATCAGATCCTGAACTATCCATACCTGCAGCAGCTACTCGGAAGTCTTCTAGGAGTATCCGACCCCCATAACGATTCTCACCTATACTAAGTTACATTCTGTTGACAGATGGTGGAGAACAGTAGAATTATGAAGAAACATTACAAGATGAGAATTCGAGCAAGTGGGAGTTAGCCATGAAAGATGAGATGGATTCCCTGCTAGGGAATCAGACATGGGAATTGATAGAACTTCCATCTGGGAAGAAAGCTCTACACAACAAGTGGGTATATCGTGTGAAGACTGAGCATGATGGCAGTAAAAGGTACAAGGCAAGGCTAGTTGTAAAAGGCTTTCAACAGAAGAAGGGCATTGACTACTCTGACATCTTCTCTCCTGTAGTGAAGATCACAACCATCAGGCTAGTGCTGACAATTGTTGCTACTGAAGATTTGTATCTTGAGAAGGTAGATGTGAAGACGACATTCCTTCATGGTGACTTGGAGGAAGACATTTACATGATTCAGCCGGAAGGGTTCATTTTTTAGGGACAACAGAATCTAGTCTGTAAACTGAGAAAGAGCTTGTATGGCCTAAAACAAGCTCCAAGACAGTTGTACAAGAAATTTGACAATTTTATGTGCAATTTAGGGTACATCAGGTGTCAGGAAGATCATTATTGTCACACCGCTGGGTTGTCATTTCAGACTCAGCAAAGATCAGTCACCCAAGATAGAGGAGGAACATGACTACATGAGTATGGTTCCTTATGCTTCAGCTATTGGTTCACTCATGTATGCTATGGTCTGCATAAGACTGGACTTTGTGCATGTAGTGGGATTTATGAGTAGATACATGAGCAACCCAAGAAGACAACATTGGGAGGCTATGAAGTGGATTATGAGGTACCTGAAAGGTTCCTCAAAAGCATGTTTGTGTTTCATTGGAGATAGCTTGAAGTTACAAGTTTTTGTTGATGTTGACTTGGCCGGAGACACTGATAGTAGGAAGAGCACCACCGATTTTGTTTACACCTAGGGTGGTACTGTCGTGTCTTGGGGTTCCAACCTGCAGAAGACAGTATCTCTTTCTACTACATAGGCCGATTATGTTGTAGTGTCAAAGGCTTCAAAGGAGATAATTTGGTTATAGAGTTTCTTGGAGGAATTGGGTAAAAAGAAACAGAAGAGAACCTTTTATAGTGATAGTCAGAGTGCCATATTCCTTGCCAAGAATCTGACATTTTCATTCTAGGACGAAACACATTCAGATTAGGTATCATTTCATATGGTCCTTACTTGATTATGGTCAGTTGATACTTGAGAAAATCTGTGGAACTAAGAACCCGACAGACATGTTGACTAAAGGTGTTACTATTGAGAAGCTAAAGCTATGTGCAACTTCAGTTGGTCTTTTGGCTTGACGACAGGAGGATGAGTTGCAGGGATGAGGGATTGTTCTTGGAGGATTGCGGTTTGATGTTGGTGATTGAACTAGTATCCAAGTAGGAGATTTGTTGGGTTTCTTTTGTGGAGTTTAGTTTGTGTGTGATCCGGATGACCAAACTCGAAATAATGTTGCATGATTTTTAATGGAATTTTTTTAAAGCTTAATCTATGGAACGAAGGTTTGGGTNTGCTGACAATTGTTGCTACTGAAGATTTGTATCTTGAGAAGGTAGATGTGAAGACGACATTCCTTCATGGTAACTTGGAGGAAGACATTTACATGATTCAGCCGGAAGGGTTCATTTTTTAGGGACAACAGAATCTAGTANGCCCTGTGCGTAGGACATATATAAACTGTTATTCGGTGATTTGAGTTTTTGGATTGATTCTGTACGACCACCTCTCTTTCTGTATTCTTTCTTGAGAATATTGAAATTCCTACAGCTTCGTACATGTAGGCAAAATGCCGAACCACGTAAATTCTGTGTTGTGTGATTGTTTGGATTGCATTATTATCGTTCTTTNTCACACCGCTGGGTTGTCATTTCAGACTCAGCAAAGATCAGTCACCCAAGATAGAGGAGGAACATGACTACATGAGTATGGTTCCTTATGCTTCAGCTATTGATTCACTCATGTATGCTATGGTCTGCATAAGACTGGACTTTGTGCGTGTAGTGGGATTTATGAGTAGATACATGAGCAACCCAAGAAANTTTGTTTTTTTTTTTTTTTTTTTTTTGTTTCCTCCCACTCAGTCCAAACTCTCTTTCTCTTTCTCTTTCTCTCTCCGTTATGCACCAACAACACCACCAACACCACTGCCACTTCGTCAGAAACACCACTAACACCACCACCACTACTAACCCCTCTCAGGTATGCCTGATCTGTCTCTCTCTCTCTCTNTCGACTTGGCCGGAGACACTGATAGTAGGAAGAGCACCACTGATTTTGTTTACACCTGGGGTGGTACTGCCGTGTCTTGGGGTTCCAACCTGCAGAAGACAANCTGTCTCTCTCTCTCTCTCACACACACACACAGAGTAACCCTCCATCCTACCCCTACCTCTTCTCTACTCTCTTTCTCTCTCACACACATATTTAACGACCCCCCAAAGCCTTCTGNAGTATGTTGTAGTGTCAAAGGCTTCAAAGGAGATAATTTGGTTATAGAGTTTCTTGGAGGAATTGGGTAAAAAGAAACAGAAGAGAACTTTTTATAGTGATAGTCAGAGTGCCATATTCCTTGCCAAGAATCTGACATTTCATTCTAGGACGAAACACATTCAGATTAGGTATCATTTTNCCTAGCGACACCAACGACAAGCACTGGGTGTCTTACTGAGCTAGGTTTAGAGTAGTGAGGGTTTCAAATCTAACATTCCCTAGATCCATTAGTCTAGATAGCATTGATTTATGCTAACATTTGTAATCAATTTCTATTCCTATAAATTGTGCTTTTGATGTTTTGAGTAGTGGGGAATTCTGTGGCTCCCATTGTGGAAGAACTTCAAAAAAGATTGAAGGAAATGGTCCACCACTACACTTGGCACTCCTTTTTAAGAATTTTAGATTTTTTTCATGATTTTAAGCTATGTTCTGTTTACTTTCTCCCCTCTCAAATCATCACGTTAGATTTTGGACCAATCAATTTGTTCATAATTTTGGCAATTTTTTTTATGTCCTGATTCATAGTTTCTCGAATGGAATATAGAATTCCCATTCGAATTTCGGGTTCTACAAATAGCACTGGAAGGCATATGCAGTTTTCTAGATGCACGTACAAGGGAATTGGATGAGCTGACCTTCAAAGTAAGGGATTTCTTTTGCATATTGGTCTTGGTCAATTTTGTTTTTCATTTAGTTTTATAACAGAATTTCTTTTGCCCTATTTCCATTCTTGCATCAAGTAAAGCCAAGGTTTCGTTGTTCCTATTGCTATCCAAATAAGATCTTCAATTCAATTTGTTTGCTATTTATGTGTATGAGAAATAAATTTTTGTATTCAAGAGAAATAGAAATAAATTTTTGTTCAATGTTGATGGCGTTAACGCACTTTTACAAAAGATGAGCTGGGATTACGTTAGGTTGCTAAGATGATGTCATAATATCCAGGGCTTTGGAAGTTAAGAAAACAGAATTATAGTGGTTCTCCAGCTTGGGAGCTCGGTTAGTCCACTCTAGAATGGAGGCTCTTGCTCATTTTTTTTTATTCACGGTGATTACAAGGTTGCTATGGCTTCTTTTTTGCCACTCGGGTCTTTTTTTTTATTAGGGGGTGTTACCTTGCATTTATAAGACCATTCCCTGCTAAGAAGGATCTTAGCCGAGATTCTTGCCCTTATTTCATGGGCTTCTCCTTAATTCTAGGAGAAGATCTTGGTTGGTTGAGATTGAGTGCCTTGATTACAACTTCCTAACGCTTTAGGATTCTCTCGTGGTTATCCAGCTATTATCTTGCCTTAAGAGACACTCGGCCCTTACCTTCTGACCCCTGCTAATGTGCCTGACCTCTTGGTCCGAGCTGATTTCCTGAGCTTAGCACTTGGAATTTATTTTAGGTATCATTAGTTACCCCCCAGCCCTTGGCTCAAGCGAGCTTGGGCATGGGCTGAGCTACTTTCGCATTGGACCAGGCCTGCACCTAGCTGACCTTAGTCCGCATGTGAGATGCACGTGGNTACCCCCCTTTGCGCAATCCACCTAGCGACACCAACGACAAGCACTGGGTGTCTTACTGAGCTAGGTTTAGAGTAGTGGGGGTTTCAAATCTAACATTCCCTAGATCCATTAGTCTAGATAGCATTCATTTATGCTAACATTTGTAATCAATTTCTATTCCTGTAAATTGTGCTTTTGATGTTTTGAGTAGTGGGGAATTCTGTGGCTCCCATTGTGGAAGAACTTCAAAAAAGATTGAAGGAAATGGTCCACCACTACACTTGGCACTCCTTTTTAAGAATTTTAGATTTTTTTCATGATTTTAAGCTATGTTCTGTTTACTTTCTCCCCTCTCAAATCATCACGTTAGATTTTGGACCAATCAATTTGTTCATAATTTTGGCAATTTTTTTTATGTCCTGATTCATAGTTTCTCGAATGGAATATAGAATTCCCATTCGAATTTCGGGTTCTACAAATAGCACTGGAAGGCATATGCAGTTTTCTAGATGCACGTACAAGGGAATTGGATGAGCTGACCTTCAAAGTAAGGGATTTCTTTTGCATATTGGTCTTGGTCAATTTTGTTTTTCATTTAGTTTTATAACATAATTTCTTTTGCCCTATTTCCATTCTTGCATCAAGTAAAGCCAAGGTTTCGTTGTTCCTATTGCTATCCAAATAAGATCTTCAATTCAATTTGTTTGCTATTTATGTGTATGAGAAATAAATTTTTGTATTCAAGAGAAATAGAAATAAATTTTTGTTCAATGTTGATGGCGTTAACGCACTTTTACAAAAGATGAGCTGGGATTACGTTAGGTTGCTAAGATGATGTCATAATATCCAGGGCTTTGGAAGTTAAGAAAACAGAATTATAGTGGTTCTCCAGCTTGGGAGCTCGGTTAGTCCACTCTAGAATGGAGGCTCTTGCTCATTTTTTTTTATTCACGGTGATTACAAGGTTGCTATGGCTTCTTTTT